AGGCTGAGTCTTACGGCGTGATTGTTTCGGAGATTTTATTTTTCTCTCGGTCGGGGGGGGGGGTGGACTGCACGGAAAAAAATATCAAGATCCAAACGACCGTCTTACGGTTCCTCGAGGTATAATTTGTTCTGAAGGGAAAAAGAGGCTGATTCATGTTCTTGTGAGTCACAACGTGCTTCAGTACACGGTTTTGGCTCGTGTGCGACCAACAAGACACCGAGCGCCCTGTTTATGGGTCGCCTGCAGAGGGCATGCGTATCATCGCACGCCAGTGGCTGCAGTTTGTGGATGTCGTTGGCCAAAGACCTCTCTCTGATGGCATGCGTTGTACACTGATCACACTCGAGTCGGAGCAAGCGGCAGAAAAAAAAAGCAACGTCCAATAAAGGCAACACCGAACCACACCTCGATTCACGTTTGCAGGCCGTGTGCAATCAAAACTGGACAATACGCTCTGTTTCTGGGACGCGAGCAGAGGGTATGTGTATGGCCACACGCCACTGGCTGCTGTTTGTGGATGTCGTCGGCCAAAGGCCTCTCTCTGGCATGCGTTTTTGACTGGTCGCGGGTGACAAACGGAGCAAACACGGCGGAACAAGAAAATATACCAAAAAGTCAACACCGCAACACACTTTGGTTCACGTTTGCAGGCCGTGTGCAATCAAAACTGGACAACACGCTCTGTTTCTGGTACGCGAGCAGAGGGTATGAGTATGAACACACGCCATTGGCTGCAGTTTGTGGATGTTAACGGCTTAAGGCCTCTCTCTGGCATGCGTTTTGAACTGGTCACACATGCAGCAGGCGCAAAAACGGCTCTTTTCGGCCCAAAAAGGCAGGAACGTCAGCAGAGCAGTGTGGCAGGGTTGACGTTTTCGGCTCGTGTGCCGCCAACACGACGCAGAACGCCCTGAATTTTAGATACCAGAAGAGGGTATGTGCATGACCTCATGATACTGGCCTCTGTTTGGCCAGCAGACGGTGTAGTTCCTCGTTCTGGCACGATCGGGGTGTGACCAGGGGGTACCCCCCCCATTTCTAACAGCGATATTCCAGCAGGATCGCTGTTGGAAAATGGACCAATTTCCAACAGCCCGGCCGGAATCGCTGTTGGAAACTGCCCTGTTGGATTTTGGGCTGTTGGAAATTGCCATTTTCCTACCCGTAAGACGCCCAAATTTGTTTTTGGCTCAGAAAAGGACCCCCCCCCCCCGAATCCAATCCGGAAATAATCAAGCCGTAAGACTGACCCTAACACGTCACAAAATCAAGGACATAGGTACACTACAAGACAACCCGATGTTCCACAAATAGCAACGGCGAAAGAACATCTCATTTTTTTCTTTCGATTTTCAACTTCTCTGTTGTTGAACAATTATTTTTTGTCGCTTCCGCATGTCTGTCTCAAAAACAGCACACAAATCTGGTACCGCATGACTCTTTGAGCAACAGCACACCGCGCGCAGCGATTCTGCTTTACCAGCAATTCCCATCCTACGTCAACATCACCCCTCTCTCCAGTCTTTAGGATAATACCTTCCTCCTTGACCTCCATCACTTTGTGGCCCTACCGCCCACCGCCGAATGGGGGCAGGGGGGCCGATGCTACCGTAGAAATCACGTACAATTTGAAATACAATTTGAAAGACTGGTACATTCGAGGCACAACATATTATATGGCACAATCAAAGAAAGGCCGCTTTTTCGAGATATGGCCACGCCCAAAAGAGAATTTGTCGACCGCTGAGGACTGAGGGACACATGCTGGATACATGGACGTTTTCTTGAGTCTGGTTTCGAAAGTTTCGGAGGGCCCGTCGATCAGAACGCTCGTGAAGCGGTACATACAGAGCATACGTTACTTCTACCCTCACTGCAACCATCGTCCCTGCTTTAAGGGGTGGAAGAACAGCGGTTTTGTCGCTGACTCTTTTCCCATACTTTGTCCTTTACAAAGAAAGAAAACAACCTTCCCGCCAGGGTTAGGTCAGGCATTCTATTGTCATCAGTAGAGGACACCATGAAGAGGCGTCGTGCGTGCTGGCACGTTCAGGTTTGCTACTGGAGCGGAAATACAAAAATCGAAGGTCGCAGCAGCCTCTGAAAACAGTCCGAAGTTTGCGCCGGAACCAAGCGGCATCCAACATTTGTCACAGCCATGCTCACCGCCACGGACCGTAAACCCCTACACGGAGGGGGGTCACCAGTAGCTAGTGGCATCAGCTACTACTGTAAACCCGTAGTTCAGGAGATTGGTGTCGGTGGCGGCGAGCATGGCTGTGACAAATGTTGGATGCCGCTAGGTTCCGGCGCAGATTTCGGACTGTTTTCAAAGGTGCTGCGATCTTCGATATTTCAGCTCCAGTAGCAAACCTGAACGTGCCAGCACGCACGACGCCTGTTCATGATGTCCTCTACTGCTGACAATAGAATGCCTAGCCTATCCCTCAAAACTGACCTTATTTGAGCGCCTTCCGTTTAGGCTCTTTCGACTTGAATTTAGAATGGTTTGATTTTTTATCTTGATTTCAAAGGAGGCCTGTGGAGGTAGACGCGTGAAATGCATGTTTTGAGCAGCCTCTACTGCCGTCCTCTGCGAGAATCAACGGTTGCTGTTTTTCGCGATGCTCCCCGACTGGTCTTGTGTCTGTTGTACAATTTCGGAGCCCCTTGCGTTTGACTCCAGAATTCGTCAACATCGAAATTGCTCTTCTTCCCCCCCTTAAGGTGCCAGGGGAGGGGTTACCCTCCCCGGTGTCCCAGGACTCTGTTGTGGTGTGTTTGGCTCCAAACGTTTTTCTCTTTTTGTTTTCTCACAGGTCAAACTTCTAGACAGACGTAAACGTCCTTGGCGGTCCGCCCCCCCCGACTGCTGGAAGCTCCATATCCACCCATTTTTTCGCTAAAGCTTAGGAGACACCAGCGTGTACATCTTGTTTGGAAAAATATATAAACTTGAGCTACCCGGTCGCCTAAAAATATGGGTTAGGATCAGATTAGGCCTTGTAGCGCGAGATCGACGCGGGTCAGATTTACGTTTTGGGCACATTGTTCCCGCAGAGATTTTTTGTGAAAAAGCCCAGAAAATCAAATTGTTTCAGTTGTCGAGAGCTACCGCTCGCCAACCGCAACCACACCGCTGGAAACTGCCAGAGCCTACAGATGTGATGTGTGAGTGGTGTCGCATGCCTTGACAGCAGCAGCAGCATCAGCATCAGCAGCAGCAGGCAGTCAAAACTCTAGAGGTGTTCTTGTGCACTTTATGCAGATGTTTGCAGCAGCCAGAAATTGCGCCAAGCTGCCGGATCTTCTGGGTACGTTGACGCGTCGCTGCCGTTCTCCTCGTGTATATCCCCGATGAACAAACACATTGAGTGCGAAAGCTAGGTTGCTGGCGATTTTCATAGGACAAACACATGAAGAGGCATGACACAGAGCGCCGTTCGATTTGTCGATCTACGAACCAAAATTCTGTTATAGAATCTTTTCTCTATCGGTGTTTACGTCCCCTCCACATAATGTTGCATTGTGTTTAAATCCCTCACTCCGTGTCAAATGTTGTTTTTTTGCGAAACGCCGTTCCTCACATAAGTCTAGTTTTATTTTGTAAGGAGCCGTGCGTAGCCTTAACGACACTCGGCTTGTAAGATACTCGGCTTGTAAGGGAATTCCCCTCGTTAGCCCGCTATAAAGAAAAAATATATCCCTTTCATTATGCGGCACTTTTTTTCAGATTTTGCCCCGTGAATGCACAGCGTGGTAGGGGGTATCGTTAGTAATGCACTGGAGCCCTGAGAAAGTACAAGAGCGGGCGGGAATGCGGAGTGCGGGAAGTGCTCCGCGAGGTCTCTCTCTGCCACAGGCTTTATATGTGGATATGCAGACATTGATATGTTTCTGTTGGTGCACCGCCTGCGCCTGGGTGGAAGCCATGCACACATTCTGTATGTTCGATTCCCATGCTTATCAGTGGCATGCACTTGTGCCCGTACGGGCGGCGGATGCATGGGTTTTGCGGGCAAGGTACAGAGGAAGGGGGCTACGGGCAGCAGAGCAAGTGTACAGCCTCCCAGAACACCCGGCGCTTAGATCCGTCCCCCGAGAGTCGACGGAGCAATTGTTTCGTCGATAAACGGCCAGACCCAAATAGGGCTGAAGTGCGTGTGGCGTTTAGCTGTGGCTCAAAGTGGAGGACGACCCACGGGCGTTGGAAGACGCGATGGAATTTGGAATGCAGGCTGTACCCGAGAAATCACGAACTTTTTTTACTTTGAGGGACAATGAGAATGATGCGCACGACGAGGAGAACGATTGCGGTAGGCCTGAGTCGTGCGTAACATCGTCGATCACGGAGGCTTAAGTCCGCCACCGTCATAAGCATGCTCGCTCCTATTTGTGCGAGACGGGAAGGGATGGGCAACATTGGGCAACCCTGTACCGATAGTTTTTTGGTTGTGCAGGCATTCACCGATGAATCGCAAGTCAAACATGCGGGGAAGGCCCGGGCGAAGTGCACCCGACGATTCGCGATTTGTGGAAGAATTCTTCGTGCGTTGCAGTCGCAGTCTTGGATGCATCCTTGTTTCGCTAGAATAGAACACCACGCCAAGGAACCACCGTGTGTTGTGTAACGTAGTGTGGGGCAGATTGTTGTTCTAGTGCAATACAGGGTCTTGACACAATGAAGCCTTCAGTATCGTGTTGTATTGAGAGACACTTTAGGACACCGCGGAGGCTTCGCGCGGTGCGGAACGTGCGTTACGGGGGAAGTATCCCTCTGCAGGCCACAGAAAAACATTTTTAAAGGCAATTCGAAAGAATAACACTTACAATCTCGGTTTCTCAATGTGAAACGGTTGGCAGGGGCGGGCGCGAACCCTTCCGGACCCCGCACTCGACGGTGCATTTTTAGGCCCCGACTTCGGTACAGGTGGGCGGGGAACACGTCAGCAACACGCAAGACCTTTGGCAGTTGCGCCATCGAGAACGTCAACAAAATGTCCTGGACGGATCTGCACCAGGCTGCCGCTCGGGGTATGGTGCAGCGCACTTTGGCACTGCTCTCGAGACCGTTGGCGAACGTTGACCAACGCGACAACGACGGCTTCACTCCCCTCATCGCTGCAGCCCAGGAGGGTCACCACAATGTTGTCAGGGTTCTCCTGGAGCACGGTGCCCAAATTTCAATGGCATCGTACGCAGGGTGCACCGCTCTTATCATGACAGCTATACACGGGCAACCAGTCGTGGCGACCGCGCTACTTGATGCTGGTGCCGACATCAACACGTCGGACATTAACGGCTGCACCGCTCTTTATTGCGCCGCCAACCACGGGTATCTCAGCGTTGCCAAGATTCTTCTAAAAAATGGAGCCCAGGTGAGCATTGCAGCTGACGACGGCTGCACGCCTCTTCACACGGCCGCAAAGAACGGTCACCCCGCAGTGGCGAAACTGCTAATTGGAGCTGGCGCCGAGCTCGATCGCGGGAGCAACGGCGGCTCCACACCGCTTCACATGGCAGCAGATGCAGGGCATTCAACGGTAGTCGAAGAATTACTCAATGCAGACGCGAATCCCGACTGTCGCTTGCCAAATGGAACAACTCCGCTTTATGACGCAGCCTTCGCTGGACACGTCGACATCGTCAAGAAGCTTATTCGTGCAAAGACCATCGCTGCGAACTTCGTGGTTCGCCCTACTGGAACGACAGGCGTCGTCGCTCTCGACGTGGCGGCGCAAAATGGACACGAGGAGACGGTGCGCGAGCTGCTTAGACTTGGAATAGGACTGTGTGGTGGTCCAACCCGCGGCAATGATGCCCTTCGCCTGGCTGCGTGGGTTCAACACATGAGCATTATGACCGCGCTGACGGACGCCGGTGTCGTTGACACGGGCACCGCCTTGTTTAATGTAGCCGCTAAAGGCCTTGAAGCACCCGTCAAGTTTCTTCTGCAGCAGAAGTGGAATACGCCGGGAGGGGCGTACGTGAACACCCGCAGTAGAAATGCTAAGTTCACTCCGTTGTTCATTGCCATTGAAGGCGCATCCCCAAGGGTCGTGCGAATGCTCCTGGACGCCGGGGCAGATGTGACGTCCACTTGCAGCTTGCCTGGTGGGATTTCCAGATCGCCCCTCTCCCAGTGCGAGAGCAACATCCGCAGCAAGTTTTGTCAAGCCCTACCCGCTACAGAGGAGCAACTGAACGGGCTGCAGGCCATCCGCCGCTTGTTGTTGCGAGTGGAGGCGATTTATGCGTCCTCTTGGCTTTGGTGCAGCAACATCCCCTGCATAGCGCCTGCTGCACGGGAGGTGGAAGGAGCCTGTGGAAAGTCGAGGATTCCAAGGAAGGCGAGGATGCTGATTTCATGGCGAAGGACCGGAGCCCGCCGTGTGCTCATGCCGGCATCGTTGCGGTGAGCCACATAGCTGAAAATCATGTACCAGACTCTACCACGTGGAGTCTTGGGACTGTAGCTCTAGTTCCTCCTTTGGCACAGTGGGATTCCGTACCTCCCGTGACTTGTCTCGTTGCCACGAATGTGTCCCAAAATTTGTAGCCTACTCATGTCTATTTGCTTGTCGACCCTTCTGCAGATGATTCCTTGGTTCTTACTTATTACCGCGAAGGGTTCATGATAGTATTGGATTTGCCAGCACCCGAAAATGTTCCGATGAATCGCAATACTACTTTAACCGGAGGCATACGTTCCTCAACACCGCTGTATATACATGCTTCCGTACGTACAACTGTCGTCGAAGCGCTACGATAGAGCAAACGCGCACGCTCAACGTTTCATTTTCAGTAGCTCGCGTTTCTGTGTCGATTCTAGCCAACACGTTCGACCTTGATCTGCGAGATCGGCTGCTTCGCTTCAGTTGGCGATGTTCACAATGCGCGTGCAGTTAAGTCGGAGCTCAGTGGCGCACAGCCATGGCTCCGTACGACTTTACACCTCTAAATTGAATCTCGCACTGCTGTCGAGGGTAAGAGCATCTGGTACAGCCGGCTGCAAATCAATATGCACGGGTGCTTTTTCAGGAGCGCCAATATGTAGAACCGCTGCACAGGAACGTTTCTTTTCTTTTGCAATATCATGGAGCAGAGCCGTGTCTTTTTTGCTTGAATGCACCTCAGAGCGGAACGGGACGGTTTGTTCGTAGCTGAATTTTTATGGAAGAGATTTATGTACTCCGTAGCAACACCGCGCGATACCGTGGCCTTGACGACGGTGCACCCCCAGAAAATGACGCCGGAATCCAAATACGGACATTCGTATAAGTTGATGGACTACCAGCGATTTCGTGAAATTCGTTGGGTTCTGGATATCGGAAAACAGTTGTTCTGCACGGTGGGCTGTGCGTGGAGGCCGCCGGTGCCGCAGTACGCGTCCCTCCCGGCCAGCTCAACCGATATGTAATAGCTGCCAATTAATCAATTTGTTCATGTCGGTATTTACTTAAGGCGAGATTGCCCATTATCGATGCCTCCTCGATCCATTCGTTCCTTCAACACCATGAACATCATCAGTTGATTCTTCGCTTGCGCTCTATGCCGCCAGTACTACAAATTTGAAAACACCGGATCGTTAATGTATCCATCACTTGCTACAAGAGGGTTAGCCCAAATTTGTCCCTGTTTCGCTGAGTCAGGTTCGACCTGGAAAACCACTTTGCTCTCACGCACGGCCATCCTGGACAGATGTAGCACACCCTTTCTACATTTCCAATGGCCTATGCTGCAAGCTTTACCCAAATCCACGGTCCGATTGCTTGATCCCTGGAATACCAGAAACCGACCTAAGGAATGCTACCATTTCGACACCGTCGGGTGCTGGCGAAGAAAGTTGTAGAACGAATTCCAGCCTGAAACGTGGCTCTCTCGCGGATAAGCAACTAGCTCTACGCAAAGGTACACGAGAGCGAGCATGGAGGTAGAAAAATGTGGCGACGACCTCTCTCTGCAGGAGGTTGGTCGTCGGGTGTCGACCCCTCTCAAGGTGAACGGGTGTTCACGCGGAAGTTTGTATGTTGCGCGGTACCCTTCAGAGCACGGTTTTTGTGTGGGTGTACGCATACATGCAACCGTGCAAACAAAGGTACCAGGTATGCGAGACCCGAGCCGTGCTAAACCCGTCACTCGGTGGAAATCCGTGACTATATGCGGTTTCGACAGCAGAGTATGTGACGGAGTAGCTCAAACCACTTCCGAAACAAAGTTTGTACGGTTCCTTGAAACCCGCACTGAGCAGAGTGGAGGCTTTATCTCGTTCCTATGATATCACGGAGTGGAGGGGTCGAAACCAGCCCATGAAAACCCCATTTCTTTTATTTTGAGTACATGGCTTCCAGCTCAAGGCGACAGTCAGCGGGTGATTCGGCGAACCTGATCGGTTTACATCCGGTTTACATCCCGATGCCACGCCACCGCCATCCATGCCCAGATATGCAAACGGGTTTAATGCGAATAGAATTTTTCAGCGCAAGCATAAAAACTACAACCAGTGTCCGCGTGGGAGGTAGTGAGATGGTGGTCCTCTTAAGAGTAAGGATCTCGTTTTGTTTTCCCGTTCAACCGTGTTGTCGGCAAGGGCAAACGCCATACATATTTGTGTCACGGTAGCTTCAGCCGATGAATCTACGGATGCTTGAAGTGTTGGATGAAACCGTGGGCGAATGTGGCAATTCGTCCTTCAGGACCCGTCCCTCTCTGTGGCTTGCAGCAAGGTCTATGAATGCAAGCGCAGATTTTTCCAGAGGCACGGCTTAAGTAATTCCTCGCTGCTCTCCGTCATTTTTTGTGCCCACCGCCTTGCCTCAGGTACTCGAACAAGCCTTGAAGTGGGCGAGCTGTTCTACGAACGTGAGCTGCATAGTGGCCGCTCAGCAAAGGAACAATCGTCCAGCGAGCAAGGCAGAATTTGTTCTAGTTTGTTGTGGATGAACTGGTGTTGTGTTGCAAGCGTAGGGGCCTTACTTCAGGGTATGATTCTAAAGAGAATCACGGCGGGGCAGTTGGATAAGGCAACATGCCGCAGATTTTTTCTTGTGGTGCGCGTGTGCTCGCAGCTCTTGCTTTGGCGTAGTGGGTGTGCCATTGTCAGGGTTTGAAGACCCGCGGAAGAACCCGCGTCAACAACCAGTATCCACCAAGAGCGGCGAATTGCTGAAAAGCGAAAGAGATTGCCGATATGGAAACAAGGTGCGTCCACGTTTATCCTGGTCTCCTATCGGTGGATAGATTTTCATTATTTTAGTTGGTTGGCCGCAGGGGGGTGATACACGCGGGTGCGCGAGAGAACTAGGTTCCGATCGCCCCGAGCACACGGCATGTGTCCTTCTCAGCCCATATCCGAGGGCAGCAGAAGAAGACGCGATGAACATGACGAAGAACGAAAACGGGAGCATCTTCATTCGAAGCTTCCACCGTCGTACGCGTGCACACATCTCTCGTCTTTGAAGGATGCTACACAGTCATTTGTGCAGCAACAACAACTGTAAGCCTACCCCTCGCGGTGTGTGTATGCTACATCTTGTGTGGCAGCCGATAGAGACCTCGGGACGATAGGAGACCCGTAGAAGCTGAGGTGGCGAGGATCGAAATATGCGAGAGCAAGACCTACCTCCTGTTGCAACAACTTATTTTGCCTTCGACAGGCTTGGGTTTCTACCCGGTGATTATTTGCTGCATCTCTTCGTGCTCGGTTGTGTTTGTTTCTGACGGAAACCCTTGATAAACATGTTCGTTTTGACGCGCACCCGATTCGTAGACTTTCATTGGGGGTGGTTCGATCGTGTTGTAGGTGATAATAATTCTGGGGTAATATTCAAAGCACAGTCTCACGAAACTGTACCAAACTGCTTCCAAAGGAAATAAGCGAATGGGGATTACCTGAGGTCACACGGCTGTCTCACGGGATCAAATACATTGCACATCTTTAGCAATTACTTCGTTCATTAATTTGGAATAGCTTCAAGGTAATCAATCGAAGCTCTTTCTCATTTCACCCCCACATGGGCGTACATAGGACGTTGACCTTTCTTCGAAGAATGCCTTGTGGTTTTCTAACAGGGTTGATTCCCCAAACGGTAAAGCGGCTGGAGCCGTGTCTGTACCCCACCAGCGACGCCTTACCACAGCGGGGGGGTGCGAAACTGCTTGCCATACGTGTCGCCAGTCGTCTAGCGGTTGCCGGCTCAATAGCAATCTACCAGCGGAGCAAGCCCAGAATCAATCAGAGTTTGACATCGACGATCAAATCACAGATGCTTGGGTTCGCCACAACACCTTCCACAAACCTGCGAAACGGGCTGTACTCCACATAGAGCGATGTTTTGCTGGGGAGCTACATTGTAAACAATACGGACACTCAAACGCGTTCTCCTTTCTTGTCAGATGGAGAAATGTGTTGGTGGTCCCGTGGGCGGTCTGTTGGCGGTCCCGCAGACCGACCACCAGAAAGATGCGCAGCTTGAATCATCGCCGCCCCCATCAGCAGCTGCAGCAATCGAGCCACCGCAGCACGGTGTCTCACATTGACTAAGAGTTTGTTCTCAGCAGCTGCAACTGCTGTTTATCCACATCTGCCGCCAACGGCTCCCACCAAAGCCCAATTTGGCAACCATGGCTGAACGCTTCTCCAGGCCGTGAGCAAAAGCGAGTTATGGCAACGCAAAAGGCAAACGTGGGGGGTTGCAGAAGCAAAACGTAGAACGAAGTTCAAGGCGGCAGTGTGCAAAGTAGCGGTGTGTGCCACCGCAAAATATTACTTTCGCAAGGCACGTGTAGCAAGAGTCTAGCGATGACCCACCTTTCGAGTAGCTATTTAACGGGCTTGCAATCCGTACTCCGCAGCTGGAATACCTTGAATGGTTTCCCGCTCACGTCGGCTGTCGGGCCAACTTCGCCCCAAGCCGCTACGTCCACACCACGGCGAAAGATCGAATCACGCCAGAATTGGGTGCAATAGGGGGTTAGGAAAGAGCAGCTGGGTAATAGGGCACGCGGAAACGCTTTAGGAGGTGCGTTGTGAAGGCGATACAGTTGTTGAAAATGGGCCGAGCCCAAGGTTGCGGGCCGACAGCAGAGTATGTACAGTTGTGCCACGACGACGCTGCCAGTCAGACTCGTATGTTTCTGAAGTGTCAGTTGTCCCCTGCCCTTGCTCTTGCTCTTGCTGCTCATGCCCCTGATTCCCCTGCTTGCTTGCCGGTGCTTTGGCGATACCGTCGAGAGAGAGCTGCCCGGCGAAGGGGATCCAGCCAGCATTCGCACGTGGGTCTTGCTTGATCCGGCCCGCGTGGTGGTTGTCCAAGTAGAAGTCTTGACAGAAGGCTGGTTTACTGCTGTCAGATAGTGCGCTGAGAGTTGAATGCTGGGCAGCTGGGCAGCACAGATGCGCGCCTTCAGCATCACAGCATCAATATATCTTCTAGGTTCCCCCGTTCAAGCCCGCGCCCCGCGCCAGTCAGAGACAGACGCAGAGCCGCAGGCCGCAGATCATGTTGGTCCTTGGTTCCAAACCAAAACAAATTCCCTTTCGGCAGAATGCGGAGAAACTATTTTGTCCCCCGGCGTCCCGGTTCCCGGCTCCCAGCTCCCAGGTAATCTTTTCTGGCCTACACCTTGGTGTGTAGCGCGTCAACAAGCATGGGGGAGGTTAGGAAAAGACAGGCCGACGAGGAATAGTCTAGATCGTTCCGCGAGGCTGTAGAGAGGTCGGGTTCAATGTTCGGCGTGTTGGATGGATGCGCGTTTGCGTCTTCCACGCTCGTCTACCGAAAGGTGCGGAAGGACAGACGGCTGCTGCCTCTCTCTACTGGGTAACGATGGCGATGATGAGGGCCCCAAAGGCGGGTACGTGGTTAACGAAACATGCAGGGTTTCTCGTCGGATTCCCACCTATGTTAGCCCTTCTCGCAATGGCGACAGATCATGTAGTAGAGGGCCTATGATGATCGTTTCGATCGAGCAAATTGACAGAAGGGATACAGACTACAGTACCGTCGTCTCCTGCGGTAGACGCCACTGTACTGCTGTGTGTACCTGTACTGTAGTACCACCACCTTCGCCTTCACACTCCGCGCTTAGGTCGAGTAAGCCGAATCGAATTCCACGTTCGTAGAATTCGTCCTCACGCGTATAGGCAACGAAGTGGGAGCAAATGCAGGCACGGTACGAGCAATATTCTACAGCTGTACTGCACGATATGGACGTGCTGTTCTCTTTGCAACCCGATACTGCAGACAGCGGGCAATACGCCCCACGATACAACGCCACCATTTCGGGACACATCTGTAGATGATCATGTTTTCTGTGTCGCCATTTTGCAATGAACAAGTTTTTTTCTTTTCTCTGCAAATACAATAGCCCCTTTATCAATGAAGTCAGATGTACCGGGGTTTTCAAGCAGAAATCTCCATAGCACAACCGTGGTTGTTAGATGTACTCGTACCATACAGTATGATGGTTGATCTACGGAGAGTACAGTTGGTAGACTGTGGGGGAACAGGGAGTCCCTACTTGGTTTCTTTGGAGATTTGGTTCGTGATCGGAATTGCGTGACGGGTTGGTGTGGCTACGCACTCTCTGGAGGTGGGACCCCGGTTCCCATTCTTAGCCCTCACTGGCCGAGCTGCCTTTCTCCACGAACCTACAAATTTCGGCCTACCTGGTTTACCCAACAGTTGTGCTCGGCCAGCTGTTGGAGACCAAGCCGGAGATGGCAATTGAAAAGATGCAAAGGACCGATAAATAGGGGTTGCAGTGGCTGAGATATTCTCGGCGGACCTTCCATTTACTTCACCTCACTCCATCTAGTCGCCGCAGTAGCTTGTGTGGTGAAAATATTCCCATGTCGGGGTGCTGAAGGTCGATGTGGATTGGGACTGATCTTGAAAGTGCCAGAAAGACAACCCAGCATCACACACGTCATGCAAAAGATCGGCCGGCAAATTGTTGCGCAAGAAAGCAATGGTGCACTACACATAGCCGTGAACGTTTATCTGTAGGCGACCAACCCGCAGGAGAAACTTCTGGACGACGTGTCGTTGATTAGGAGAAGGGGCCTAGGTGAAAGAGGGGTCGAGGGGGAGATTACCCGTGTCTCCTGATCGGGCATTCGGCGATCTGTCATACACCGATAAACTTCATAGAATGCCCTGGCCATTGCGGCGCCCTTGCCACCTTGCGACCGAGAGCTAGAGGAAAAAACACGATTGCTAGGGTCAGGGCAGAGCCCCGCATCTGCGTACATAAATTATTCGGTTGTAGTTGTAAGCGTGAGGGGTCATGAGGTAGAAAATGCATGTTCCCGACTCTCCCACAAGAGCTCGTGGTAGAGCGGGAGACAGTCCTCCGGCTTGGCCTTGGGCTAGCGGGGGTTGGAGATTGACACACTTGCGACATTGGCTCGTTATCTTTATTTCGAACAAACACCTTGTCTTCCGTGAACCGTCGGGAACGTATTGTAGTAGGTAAGAATAATCGGGAGCCGTGTTTCGCCTCTGTACTCCGATTGGTTCTCGACGATACGCCTAGATTCTCATGGTCGCTTCGACGTTTGCTCGATTGTAGAGACACTCATTGGTGATTTACTCCGTCTACGGGTGAGCACGCCCTTTGAATACCAAAGTGAAACGAATTGGGTCTAGGAAACTGTGACATATCTTGACCTTCTACAAAACTGCCTTCGGGCGAGTGTCCTTTGCGACGGCCGTGGTGTGTTGGCCTTAACGCTCTAAAGTACATTTGTCAACCGCTTTGGGATTGAATAACTTCAGCGTGCGTGTTTGGAGTAGTTTCATGGCACCCATATTTCCCACGTGCTCGCTACAACCC